TCTGAGGAGGCCTTACAAATAGCTGTGAAAAGAAAATAAGTGAAAGACAAAGAAGAAGAGGAAAGATATACCCATTTGAATGCAGAGTTCCAAAGAATAGCAAGGAGAGATAAGAAAGCCTTCCTCAGTGATCAATACAAAGAAATAGAGGAAAACAATAGAATGGGAAAGACTAAAGATCTCTTCAAGAAAATTAGAAATACCAAGGGAACATTTCATGCAAAGACGGGAACTTTGTTATGCAACAGAAATGAATACAACACTGTAAATCAACTATACTGCAATAAAATAAAAAAATTTTAAAGCCCCCTTTTTCAGATGAAGTAAAAGTTTGCAAAGGTTAAGTGACTCCCCTCTAGGACATACTGCCAGTTGGTAGCGGAGGCAGGACTCAAGGTCAGCTCTGCATGATCCAGGGCCTGAACTCAAATGGGGCAGACTTCTCTCCTGGCTGGCCCAGGAAGGTTGCTCCTGCATTGCTCTGGAGTGCATGTCCGTGTCCCCAGTGCCCCACGCCCCCATTCATATGTCGGAGCCCTAACCTCTAGTGTGATGGTGTTACAGATGGGGCCTTTAGGAAGTGACAAGGGTTAAGTGAGGTCCTGTCCTCATGATGGGATTAATGTCCCTGTAAGAAGAGACACCAGAGAGCTTGCTCTCTGCACATGTGCACAAAGAAGAAATTTATTTCTCACAGTTTTTGGAATTTCAGTTCTTTGAGCTACCAGTTACAGCACCCCCAGCAGACAAATACAGGCCTAACAATTAGAGCGCTCCTTTCTAAGTGTCTAAGGGGACTTCCCTGGTGGTCCAGTGGTTAAGAATCCGCCTGCTAGTGCAGGGGACGTGGATTCGATCCCCAGTCTGGGAAGATGCCACATGCCACACGGCAAGCCCATGCAGCACAGCTACTGAGCCCGTGCTCTAGAGCCAGAGAGCCTCAACTACTGAAGCCCGCGTGCATAGATCCCAGGCTCTGCAACAGGAGAAACCGCTGCAATGAGAAGCCCACACACTGCAACTAGAGAGAAGCCCCCACTCGTCACAACTAGCGAAAGCCCATGTACAGCAACGAAGACCCAGTGCAGCCAAAAATACACAATAAGTAAAAATTGAAAAATAAAAGATCATCATAAGATTTTTTTTTTTTTTTTTAGTGTCTAAGTTTGGATAAATTGGGCTTCCTTGGTAGCTCAGCTGGTGAAGAATCTGCCTATAATACAGGAGACCCTGGTTTGATTCCTGGGTCAGGAAGATCCACTGGAGAAGGGAAAGGCTACCCACTTCAGTATTCTGGCCTGGAGTATTCCATGGACGGTATGGTCCATGCAGTCACAGAAGAGTCAGACACGACTGAGCAAGTTTCACTTCACCTGACTTGGATAAATGGTATGGCCTTCATGTTACCACCGTAATACCAGCATAAGTACCATGTTTTGCTGCCCCTCCACATACAACAAGGGTCCATCCGCCTGAGTGAATTTGCACACTTATCAATCACCATGTTGGTCACTTTTCAAACAGTCCTGTGGCTTCCCTCTGTCGATACTGGCCTCCACGTCAGCACATGCTGACCCAGCCATCTGCCAGGTTTTCCCTTTAAGCGTCCAGCGCTGAGACATCCCACCTCCTGGGAACCTTTGAGAATCACTCCAAGCCCTTCCTCAGCAGCTCAGGGCTACTGGACTCCCTCCTCCCCAGCACATGCTCTGAGCTCCCCGCGTACAACCTCAGCCATACTGTCTTCACTTCTAACTTCCCCGGGGAATTCTGACTGGTTTCCCAAGTCCCCCTGCAGTTATGATAACTGGCAGTTATGATAACTGATAACAGTAGGGCCCCCGAGACCCCATGTTTAGCTGAGTGGTCAAGGGCCAGGGGCTTCTCCAGAGCAACTGCTGCAAATTGTCCCTTTCCAGGTTCACACCTCTGCTTAGGTCTTGGGTTCTTAAAGGTATTTGGCCTAGGCTCACAAACATCTCTTACCTCAGAGGAAAAACACTCTCAAAATTAATGGAAAGATGCCATTGCCTTTTGATATGATTTAAGGGAAAACCTACCATTAATTTGTTACTTCAGTGCAACTCTTGACTCAAACTATACTGCAGACCAATGTATCTGTTATAAAAACAGTTAAAATGATACAGATGCATGCCCATATTAAAGTCTTCTGCAAAAGAAAAGTGAGGAAGTAGATTGCATTGGTAGAGTGGGTCAGATCATAGAAAGCCCTAAAATCAGACACTTGAGGGTTTTATTAAAAAGGCAAAAGCGGGTCACGGTGGTTCTGGATCGGGGACATGGAAGGGTGGAAATGGAGTTAGGGAAAGATGTGGCTGGCATTGTAAGTGAAAATGAACTAGAGGAGAGACTGAAGGACGTGGGAGACTTGAGAGAAGTGGGGGGCGGTCATTCATACACCAGGTACCAAGGGACTGGGCTAGACTGTGGGGTTAAGAAACGCGTGATCCACAGAACAGACTGCCTGGCTCCAAGCCTAGTTCCGCCCTTACTGCGCGGGGCCCTGCGGAAATCTGGACAGGCCATTCCCCTCTGTGCTCTGCATCCCTTCAGCTCTAAAGTAAGGATGGCAGCTCTGGGAGGGCACCCACTGCAAACATTCAAGTGGCAGCTTTGTTGGTTCATTCTTGTTAGCACAGGAATGAGCAGGTCATTACATACCTTTGATTTGACTTAGTAGCAACAGGTAAGAAATAAAGGGGCCCGGAAAAGATTCAGGAAGATGTTTTCCACACTCATATCCAATCAAGTGCCGAGTCCTATATATTCACATCTTAGACAATCTCTTCAATCCATCTGCTTCTTTTCATCCTCACCACCTGCCCTTGAGCCCCACCTGATACATCCTCCCCTCCTTGACCCCTGTGATGGCCTCCCCACTGGTTACCTTGCTTCCATTCTTGTCCCCCTCGCAAGCCACTCTCCATACAGCAGCCAGAGAATGCTTCTTTTCCTGCAAAGCCGAAAATGTACTCCTCTGGCTTAAAATTCTCTAATGCCCTTACACTGTTCATGGAAAACTAAAAGGAAAAGCACTGTTTTTCTCTACTCCATTCACATCAACACTTCTGACACTAATTACCTGGAGTTAGCACAGACCACACAGATTAAGGAGCCAGTCCCACAGGACGGCCCCTCCCCCACTTCAGAAGCCAACTGCAAGTCCAGGCCTCCCATATCAACTCGCTATAAATCTGGGATTCCCATGACCCCTTACTGGAGTTTGATGATTTCCTAGCATAGCTCATAGAACTCAGGAAAGCTCTTTTCTTACTAAAACCCATTTATTACTAAGGATACAACTCAGGAAGAGCTAAATAGAAGCGATGAGGCTTCTCTACACGTTCCTACCTCTACATGTTCAACCACGCAGAAGCTCGCTGAACCCCACAGTTCAGGGATTTCTATGGAGGTTTCAGCATGTAGGCAGGACCAATGATGAGCTCAGTCCCCAACCCCTCTCCCAAACCCAGAGGCCAGCGGGTGGGGCTCAAAGTTGCAACCCTCCAATCATATGTTTAAAAACAACTAAGCATCTTTTTTTTTTTTCCTTTTCAATGATGTCATTTTTAAATGATGTCATTTTTAACTCCAAGGAAAACAAAAGTTGTTCATGAAAGTAAAGGTAATCATAATCATAAACATTATTTGTTCAGTAGTAAGAAATATTTACCTGTTATAAAGATCAAAATACTAAGGACTTAATGTTTTTAATGGTGAGATAAAACTGGGGAGAAGAAAGGAATGAAAGAAGGTGATACAAGAAAGCTGAATCCACATCCCTCATGTGTGTGTGTGTGTGTGTGTGTGTGTGTGTAAAAGTTGTTCAGTTGTGTCCAACTCTTTGCAACCCCTGGATTGTAGTCCACCAGGCTCCTCTGTCCATGGAGTTTTCCAGGAGTGCGTTGCCATTTCCTCCTCCAGGAGATCTTCCCAATCCAGGGATTGAACCCATGTCTCTTGCGTCTCCTGCATTGGCAGGCAGATTCTCCACCACTTTGAGGTTACTTTTATCTTGTACCATTTTGGGCTATTTGAATGTTACCACCATCACCACCGCAACAACAAACTTTTCAAATAAAAGGAAAATACACATGCATGTGCATATACACGCTCACGCTCACGCGTGCGCGCACGCACACACACACACACACACACACACACACACACCTAACATTAAGTATACATGAAAATACGGGCAGTCATACAATGGGAGGCTCCAGCGGCATTTCTCAGCTGGGTGGACCAGTAAGTTTATCAACACACTTGAACCACTGAATAAATGCACTTTGCTCCCGTTTTTTACTAGTCTGATCAAGGTATCACTCCTCCCTGAACCTAGGAACCAGTTCAGTAATATCATATCATTGGACAACTTCAGTCCTTTCAAAGATCTTCCATTCAGTCAAGAATGTACAAGGAGGCATAAAGATGTTCCCAGTGTACCACCCGAATGGATCCTGCGCTAAACAAATGTATTTGGCCAAGCTCCAGCCTCTGGGGGCAAGTGGCCAATGGTTCTTTAGACCAACAAAGGAAAGGGAGTTGCTGTCTGTCCTTCTGTGGAGATTGAATTTTCTCCATAATTCATTTACAGTAAAGTTCTAAGCACAGAATACACAAATATAATCTGGCAAGGCTATTACTGCTGTCCTGAGGTCTCCACTGTAGCAAACTTGGAAGTCCCAGTTACAGAAGCAGGGTCCCAGAGTTGTCATGGGGGCCCTTAATAATAATGTGTTCTCTTTTCCATGGCTAGTTTTGAGATGTCAGTGCTTATGCAACAGATAAAAGGTATCAACTTAATTAAAATGGGCAAAAGGCCAAGTGATGCACTTAATGTTCCATCTAGAATCTAAGCCTCCAAAAGAAGAAAATATTAATAGGAACCATCTTCCTGTGTCCTCCAAATGAATGTTTTTATCTGAATCCAGGCTCCATAGGGCTGATGGTCAGAAACACACCCATGGAGACATGTTCTGTAGTGAAATCATGACCTTAGTCAAGAAAAGTAAGCTTACCAGCTGCACCAGTTTTAAAAAATCAACGAAGACATCACTTCTCAACATGTTTGGGTCCACGGTTACTGAAAAACAGGGACAGCAAGCCAGGTTAGCATGGGGCTGGGTTGACTGTTCTGTTAAACTGCTCTGTCCTCCAGGGAGCCCTCCAGGCCTTGACAGTACACCGCTGCCTCCTTAAAGGCAACGGAGCCTTTGACTTCTCAAATCCATGAAAACCTACAAAGCCTTTCTCCTCCAGGCAGCCTGGACTGACAACATGAACCCATCACACCAATCCCAGGCGATTCTTTCCAGGAGTCCTTTTTCATTCATGCACATCCATCACTCAATAGCCATCTTGCTGCCCCTACTAGAAAGATGATGAAGTTGATATGAAGAAACAATAAGATCGAAAACTGTGGATCTAGACTCCCACTTTAGCGAGATGCTTGGTCATTTGAAAATTTTAAATCAGCCAAGAAACAAGGATGGAGAGGACTTCTTTTCACAATGGGCGCTCTCAAGAGGTTATCCAAAAAAAAGAAAAAAAAGCAATAATAAGGCTATCAGAGATTTAAAGTTTTGTTCTTCTGTACTTATAAGACATTTACCCCCTTAGATGTAAAGCTCCAGATACCAACACCCAGAGCTGTGGCCAGAGTACATGGGGCTGGGACTTGCCCCCCGAGGGCCCCACAGTCACACGTGGGGGCTTCCATGTGTGACCACAGTCACACGTGGGGCTTCCCTACAGTTTTCTCAGTTCTTATCTTCCTCCCCACGAGTCCTCTCCCACACTCTGCACTTGAGCTGAACTTATCTTGGGGAATGCTGTTGAAGACGTGTTCAATAAATTAGTATTTACTGTACAACCGTTAAGTACCGAGTCCTATGCAAAGCATTTTGCATGTTTTAGCTCACTTAATCTTCACAACAAATGCTGAAGTAAAGTGCATTTCCATTCTACAGATAAAGACACTGAAGCTCAGAGAAGGCAAGTCTCTTTCCCCAAGTCACACAGCCAGTGAGGTGCAAACCAGGGGCTTGACTCTAGGTCTGAGCAGAGCCTGTGCTCACAGTCACAATGCTACACTGCACTGTAGCATCTCCTTCCTCTACCTTCCTAGGGGATGCACGGGGCATCCTGATTATGGATAAAGGCAAGGTCTAGAGAAGTGACCCCTTAAGCACAGTAATCATTTGTGAAAATGCCAGTTGTTAAAGGAGTATTTCATGAAGATCTGAGAAAGCAAACCAAGAAAGAATGAAATTTCAAAAGATATTACATTTTGAACTTGAAAAAATTTATTTAATATGTCTAAAAAGAGGTACATTCTCCATTACAAAAGATGAATGGAAAATAGATGACTTCTAGAATTTCTATTGGCTATGTTTTAAAAAAAATACGTGCAACTCTGAAAAATAATGAGGTAAATCTATAATTGCTTCAGATGACCATTATATCTACTACTGGGAGCACGAATCTCTTAGAAGAAATGGAGTAGTCCTTATAGTCAACTAAAGAGTCTGAAAGGCGGTACTTGGGGGCAATCTCAAAAACAACAGAATGATCTCTGTTTGTTTCCAAGGCAAACCATTCAATTCTAAGTAATTCAAGTCTATGCCCCAATCACTAATGTCAAAGAAGCTGAAGTTGAATGGTTCTGTGAAGACCTACACGACCACCTAGAGCTAACACCAAAACAAGATGTCCTTTTTATCATAGCGGACTAGAATGCAAAAGTCAAGAGATACCTGGAGTAACAGGCAAGTTTGGCCTTGGAGTACAAAATGAAGCACAGCAAAGGCTAAAAGAGTTTTGCCAAGAGAATGCACTGGTCATAGCAAACACCTTCTTGCAACAACACAAAAGAAGACTCTACACATGGACATCACCAGATGGTCAATACTGAAATTAGATTGATTATATTCTTTTTAGCCAAAGATGGATAAGCTCTATACCGTCAGCAAAAACAAGACTGGTAGCTGACTGTGGCTCACATCATGAACTCCTTATTGCCAAATTCAGACTTAAACTGAAGAAAGTAGGGAAAACCACTAAACCATTCAGGTGTGACCTAAATCAAATCCCTTACAATTATGCAGTGGAAGTGAGAAATAGATTCAAGGGACTAGATCTGATAGACAGAGTGCCTGAAGAACTATGGACAGAGGTTCATAACAGGTACAGGAGGCTGTGATCAAAACTACCTCCAAGAAAAAGAAACGCAAAAAGGCAAAATGGTTGTCTGAGGAGGCCTTACAAATAGGCCTTCTCAGTTTGTCTGAGAAAAGGAGAGACGTGAAAGGCAAAAGAGAAAAGGGAAGATATACCCATCTGAATGCAGAGTTCCAAAGAATAGCAAGGAGAGATAAGAAAGCCTTCCTCAGAGATCAATGCAAAGAAATAGAGGAAAACAATAAAAGGGGAAAGAATAGAGATCTCTTCAAGAAAATTAGAGATACCAAGGGAACATTTCATGCAGAGATGGGCACAATAAAGGACAAAAATGGTATGGACCTAACAGAAGCAGAAGATATTAAGAAGAGGTGGCAAGAATACACANGAAGGCAGGAGGAGAAGGAGACAACAGAGGACAAGATGGTTGGATGGCATCACCAACTCAATTCACATGAGTTTGAGCAAGCTCTGGGAGATGGTGATGGACAGGGAAGCATGGTGTGCTGCAGTCCATGGGGTCACAAAGAGTCGGACACTACTGAGCAACTGAACAACAATAAGAAAGATCTGTAAGATTAATGTTTTAAGAGGAGCAAAATCAACATACAGAAGAAAAAGGTTTTTTTCTTTTGTAGAGAAGGACTTTAGTGGGGTAGTTGGCGATGTTTAAATAAAGTCTCTATACTAGACAGCATTACTATATCAGTGTTAATTGCCCAGTTTTTATAACTACACTGTAGTTACTGAAGAGAAAGTCCTTGATCTCAGGAAATACACATAGATGTACTTAATGATAAGGTGGTTTATATATGCAAAACAAGGGTCTCAAAAATTATATACAATATATATTACGCATACATTCATAACACAAACACAGACTTGGGAAAGAGAGAGAGGGATAAAGCAAATGTAAAGTGTTAACATCTGACAAATCTGGGTAGAATATACAGAAATTTTTGCATTAATTTTGCAACATCTCTGTAAGTCAGAAATTCTTTCAGACTAAAAAGTTCTAAAAACTCAGATTCAGGACATCCCTGGTGGCACAGCCAATAGAAATCTGCCTGCCAATACAGGGGACATGGGTTCGGGCCCTGGCCGGGGGGATTCCACCTGTCGTGGAGCAACTGGGCCCTTGGGCCACAACCACTGAGCCCAAGAGCCACAGCTCCTGAGCCCACGTGTTCTAGAGCCTGTGCTCTGCAACAAGAGACCCACTTGGGGTGAGAAGCCCATGCACCGCAGCGCACAGTAGCCCCCACTAAAGAAAGCCCACGTGCAGCAATGAAGACCCAGAGCAGCCCAAATAAGCTAATTAATTAATTAATTCAAAACAAAACTCAGATACAGAAAAATGTACAGGGTAAGCTTCGATTTGTCTTTAACCAACAAAGATGTACACACACACTAGAATACACAGGATGGTTTCTGAGAAATACACAAGCCTCTTGTATTAATAATAGTATTTTCTTTTAAAGGCATGGGAATCTGAGGTGGAAGGGAACGTGTCTTTCATTTTAAACTCTTTGGCCAGGTTTTATTTTTAAAAAATTTTATGTCTATACCATTTCCCCCTTTTAAACCTTTAACTGTTTGAACGCCAATGATTCTATTTCCCCCCACCGTCCTCTCATGAGAGCTCATCTTGCTGTGCATATAGGACTTTTCAGAAGCCCAGAAATACACCAAGACTCTGTATCACTAGCCCCATGGGTCCAGAGCAGACCTCTAAGCATCCCTGGTGCCTCAGCTCTGCTCCTAGGGAGGCCAGAGATGAAACTGCCATCTCCAGCACTGCCAGTAAACATTTCTAATATCTCCTGAAAGCTTTCACATAAAAGCAGATCACTTTATCCTTTTGTTCAGTCTTAATCCAAATGACATTCCTTTGATTTCTACAATCAAAACCAACACAGAGCACCTGGGGGAGGGGTGACTCTAAACAAAGCATTCTTATGCCAGATACAAAGACCACATATTGTATGATTCCATTTGCATGAAATATACAGAGCAGGCAAATTTATAAAGGCATAAATTAGTGTATAAAGACAAGGGCTGGTAAGAGGGAGAAATAGGAAGTGGCTGATAATAGGTATAAAATTTCTTTGGGGGTGGTAAAAATGCTTTCAGATTAGATGACGGTGATGGTTACACAATTCTGTAAATATACTAAGAGCCATTAAGGACACATATAAACCTTCACATTTCCACAGATCTGTTTTAAAAAATCCAAATACATACCATTTTGCAAATATTGTTCTAACTGGTCCCTTCTCTCATCAGCCATAGATGTGGTCATTGCAAGATAGTACTTTGGTGGAAAGGGTGGCAGGCAATTTCCAAACACCCGCTTCAGCTGAAAGATCCAGAAAACACAAGGTTAAGGCAAAGCGCCTACCATTCAAGGTTGATGAGACACCAAAGCCTCCGCTTGGGGCAAGTCTCTCTCCAGCACTTTATTTAAAATTAACACTTCCTGATGGTCAAAAGGAGGAAAAAGTGATACCTTGATTTTCTTAAAAAGGATTTTATTTTAGTACAGGTTCCTAGAACACTGTTAGACGTATCTCAGACTGACAACTCCAGTCTGAGTTTGGTAGATTTGGGGTATATTTTAATCTTTCGTTTGTTTTTACACAACACATCAGTCACATCATACAATATTCCTTTAATTCATTCCCCAATAGTATTCGTGACATCAATGGTTAGAGTTAGGAATTTAATTCCCCCTCCACACACCAACCCAATTTGAACAGAACAGCAGATGTTCAGAGTTGTGCAGTCTAATTTAGTGTCTCTGACAACGCAGCTAGTCCGAACTGAGGTGGATGGTAAGTGTAAAATACATTCTAGTTTTAAGGGAAGACTTCGTACAAAGGGAAGAGAAGGTAAAACATTTTGCTAGTAACTTTTTAGGAATGTGCATGCTAAGTAGCTTCAGTTGTGTCCAACTCTTTGGAATATGACTGCCAGGCTCCTCTGTCCGTGGGATTCTCCAAGCAAGAACATAGGAGTGAGTTGCCATACCCTCCTCAATCACTTTTTATATTGATTACCTACTGAAATCATAATATTTTAGACATATCAGATTAAATAAAATATATCATTAAAATTAATTCCACCTGTTTTTAAAATCTTTTTTAACATGTTAAAATTTTAACACAAAATTTTGCTGTGTTACATATGTGGCTTACATTCTATTGCTAGTGGACAATGTTGGTTTCTAAAAGTCCTGCAAGGCTGACATATGATCCCAATAGAAACTCTGCCAGACCGCTCCCTCTTCCCCATCCACATATGACCCAAGACCATGACCATGGTGGAAACTATCTTTATGCAAGCTCATAGTGGATGCATCAAAAATAATTTTTAAATTAGGTAATCAAAAATGACCTTCATTCCAGACTCACATTTACAATGAAAGCTAGAAAATAAGACATCGTATCATTCTCTTTAAAGCAGAAGAAAGGAAACCAGTAAGATTTTAACACGGTACCTCTGGGACAGGAAATTTCACTGGCTTAAAGAAAATGAGAGCAGATCTAAGAGAAATGAGACTGCAAACAAGAACGAACTAAAATTCCATGACCTTTGTCAAAAATACAGTGTGTGTTTGGCAAATATTTACCTTGCACCAGCCCTAACTTCAAAATAGATCCCAAATCTGGCCTCTTCTTCCTCCTCCACTGCCATCACTCTTGTCCACACCCCTGTCATCTCTTGTTCCAGGTTATTGCAGTAACTTTCCAACAGATCTCTCTGCCTCCGCCCTTGCTCCCCTCCCATCTATTCCTAATACAGAATCTAAAGTTACTTAAAAATGTAAGTCAGATCATTCCTCTGCCCTGCACAAAATCCTTCAGAGCAACCCGTCTCACTCAAGTACGAGCCAAAATTCTTAGGGTGGCCCAGAATTGGGCCACCCAATAAGACGCCCAATAGCCACCTGTGACTACTTAAATTTAAACTTAAAATTTAAAGTTCAACTCCTCCATCTCACTAACCACATTTCAAATACTCAATAGCCACTGGAAACATGGCAAGATCCTACTAAATTGGACAAAGAAGATACAGAGCATTGCCATCAGCACATAAATTTCTATTGGACAGTGTTGATCTAACAATTAGAAAGGTTATTACCTGCCTACCTATAGGGAAGATGCAGCTCCCTTATATTTTGTTTGGTCTGCTGGGTTGTTTGTTTGATTTATAGGGAATATGAATTGAAGCCAACATTTATTTTTGCAATTTAAAAATATTCAAGTGATATTCTGGAGAGAATATAAAATGGTACAGCCACTTTGGAAGAAATTTTGGCAATTTCTTACAAGGTAAACATAGTTTTACCACATAATTCAGCAACTACACTCCTAGTTATTCACCAACAGATTTGAAAACTGTGGCCACATAAAGACAGCATACAAATGTTTAGAGGTGCTTTACTCATAATCACCAAAACCTGAAAGCAACCGAAATATCCTTCAATAGGTGAATGGATAAACAAACTCTGGTCTATCCCTACAATGGAATATTCCCCAGCAATAATAAGAAATGAGTTGTCAAGCCACAAAAAGACATGGAGGAAACTGAGATACATATTGATAAATAAAAAGTCAAGCTGAAAAAACACACTGTATGACTTCAATTATATGATATTCTTGGGGGGAAAAGCAAAATGGCAGAGAGAGTAAAAACATCCATGGTCACCAGGAGCTTGGAAAGGGGGGGTGTTGAACTGGTGAAGCACGTGGAATCTTTTAGGGTGGTGAAACTAGTCTTCATGATATTATGATACATGATACTAGGTATTTGCCAAACCTACTGAACTTTACAACACAACTTTAATGTGTGTAAATATTTAAAGAATCATTTAGGAAGTGGGGGAAAACCCAGAATGGAATGCAGAATGTGAGTAAACAATTTAACTATGTTATAAATAGATGAAACAACTGCAGTGAAGGGGATGAGGGAAAAGGTGCTGACCTAAGTCACTCAGCAAATGAGTGGTGTCTATAAAATTAAAGGCAAAAGCAGCTGTACAGAAGTACTGAGTTCTAGCTGATAAAATTGTTTCCTACGTGGACACAGGTTAACCATTCTGGTACCTCTATATGTGTCCACATAATGGAGCAATCAAGTCAGCAGATGCAGGTGGTGTGAGTGGCTTCTCACTGTTGTAATGAGAGTTTTCAGATAAGGGAACAGCCATGTGGTGATGGATTACCATTGAAGACTTTGGTATGAACTCAAAGTTAAATTTAATTTAGACACAGATGGCTACACACAGAAGTATTTATTTATACATGCATAGATGCACATATATTTTCTTGCTCTGTCACCTTAGAGGGTCTAGAAGCAACGACACTGTGATAGTGGGGAACACATCTAGTGCCAGATATTGGTTTCTAATGTTATTCTCCAATAAAAGCAACTAGGACTCCATGAAGAAATGGTTGATTCTAGGACTGAGGCAGGAAATACACAAGATGAGTCTGGGACTGGGACTTCCCTGGTGGCCCAGTGGTTAAGACTCCACACCTCAAATGCAGAGGGTGCGGGTTCAATCCCTGGTCGGGGAACAAAAAAATCCCACATGCCACACAGTGGGGCCAAAAAAAAACCTAAGGAAACTATAAGCAAGGTGAAAAGACAGCTTTCAGAATGGGAGAAAATAATAGCAAACGAAGCAACTGACAAAGAATTAATCTCAAAAATATACAAGCAGCTCATGCAGCTCAATCCCAGAAAAATAAATGACCCAATCAAAAAATGGGCCAAAGAACTAAACAGACATTTCTCCAAAGAAGACATACAGATGGCTTAACAAATACATGAAAAGATGCTCAACATCACTCATTATCAGAGAAATGCAAATCAAAACCACAATGAGGTACCATCTCATGCCGGTCAGAATGGCTGCTATCCAAAAGTCTACAAGCAATAAATGCTGGAGAGGATGTGGAGAAAAGGGAACCCTCTTACACTGTTGGTGGGAATGCAAACTAGTACAGCCGCTATGGAGAACAGTGTGGAGATTTCTTAAAAAACTGGAAATAGAACTGCTATATGACCCAGCTTCACTGCTGGGCATACACACCGAGGAAACCAGATCTGAAAGAGACATGTGCACCCCAGTGTTCATCACAGCACTGTTTACAATAGGCAGGACATGGAAGCAACCTAGATGTCCATTGGCAAATGAATGGATAAGAAAGCTGTGGTACATATACACAAGGGAATATTACTCAGCTGTTAAAAAGAAGGCATTTGAATCAGTTCTAATGAGGTGGATGAAACTGAAGCCTATTATACAGAGCAAAGTAAGTCAGAAAGAAAACACCAATACAGTATATTAACGCATATATATGGAATTTAGAAAGATGGTAACAATGACCCTATATGCGAGACAGCAAAAGAGACCCAGATGAAAAGAACAGACTTTTGGACTCCATGGGAGAAGGCAAGGGTGGGATGATTTGAGAGAATAGAATACATTGAAACATGTATATTATCATATGTGAAACAGATCGCCAGTCCAGGTTCAATGCATGAGGCAGGGTGCCCAGGGCTGGTGCACTGGGATGACCCAGAGGGATGGGATGGGGAGAGAGGTGGGAGGGGGGCTCAGGATGGGTGACACATGTACATCCATGGCTGATTCATGTCAATGTATGGCAAAAACCACTACAATATAGTAAAGTAATTAGCCTCCAATTAAAATAAATTAATTAATTAAAAAAAAAAGATGAGTCTGGGGAATCTTGTAGCACCAGAAAATAAGAAAGTGTACAAAGCAAACAAAAGTCAACAATAGGGGTATGTCAAAGACGCAGAGGAACAAACTGAAAGAGCTCCCACAGGCCAAGCTGGAACAATTTGAACAATAAAATAAAGTCTAACTGAAGTACAGCCCAAAGTATAAAGTAAATATCCAGGAGTCCACTCCAGGAGTATTATATCCAGGAGTCCATAATAATTTATAGTCCAGATATAAATTATTGACTAAATAAATCAGAGAGAATAGACAAATCCTGGTGCAGAAGAATCCCAAATAATGTATGTAAATACTTTATCCCACAAGGAGATGGAGCATAAATCCTCAGTCTTTAAGTGTGGTCTGTGCATGGGAACATCCCTCCTAAGAGCACACACTGGAAAGGCAGGGAAAGAAGTAACTTTATATGGAGATATGGAGAAACCTGCCAAACACTCCCTCAGCCAGGTGACCAAGGGCAATCTCAAACATGTTGGATCGATAGCAAATGCCCCAGACAATATGTGATTAGGCGCACTTGTCCCCCAGGGTCTTTCTCTTAAAACCATAAACCCAGTTGGGTCATCTGAAAAACATCAGAC